ACCCTCGACGCCGTTGCCACGCCCCTCATGGGCTGCTAGGATTCCAGCAGCCGTCAGACTAGATGAGAGCACTCTACAGAAGGCCCTGCAGATTTCTGGAGACGGGGGGCTGGAGGTTGAGGAAGGGGCGATCCTCGTCTTCTCTGTTTATCACGGATTTATAAAACACCGTCTTCTCACTTTGAACTGTCTGTTGCAGGCTTTTTTTTTTTTTTAATTTTTTTTTTCAACGTTTATTTATTTTTGGGACAGAGAGAGACAGAGCATGAATGGGGGAGGGGCAGAGAGAGAGGGAGACACAGAATCGGAAACAGGCTCCAGGCTCCGAGCCATCAGCCCAGAGCCCGACGCGGGGCTCGAACTCCCGGACCGCGAGATCGTGACCTGGCTGAAGTCGGACGCTTAACCGACTGCGCCACCCAGGCGCCCCTGTTGCAGGCTTTTAAAAGAACTACCGTGTGATGTCGCACCGAATGGTCGTTGACAGACCCTGAGTTTCTCGAGGCAGGGCTGGCGGCCTCGTGGGGCACCGCGGGCACCAGGCTTTATGTTCGGTGACGGCAGTGATTCCCCTGTCTTTCTCCTGTGAACTGTACCCCTGCCCAGAAGGGAGCGAAGCCTTTGTGTCTGCAGGCCCGGCTCACCTTTTGAGATTCTACTCCTTCCCGACTTCCCTGCTCTGAGTCATTGCTCTGTCTCCAGTTCTGACTTGGCCCCCACTGAGCGGAAGAGCCATGATCTGTTTAAGCCTCCTTTATGTATTGCGAAGGCCCCGGAGGTTAGATAATTACCCCGAGCTGGAGCCTGTCTCCAGGTATCTTGGCTTAGGGGAACAGATGTGCTGGCCAAGTGTGCTGAGAAGGTAAACTACATTAGAGAATTCTGTTTCCTATTTACTTCGACAGGAAATCAGGAAGAGTCTTTGGCCAGAAAGGGGTTGATGTAATTAAAGTGAACTGAGAAATGTGTAATTTTTTTGATTATATAAAGAAATACTTAACCTTGTTATATTAAAATGTTAACAATGATCCTCAAAGTATCAGTTAAAAGTTTGCTCTACCCAAATAATGAATCACTGGGTTACAAAAAATGAAAGTAGAAACCTAACATGGCCTAGCATGATCTAGCATGGCCTATCATAGCCTAGAATTATCTAGCATGGTCTAGTATGGCCTAGTTTAACCTATCATGACCTACCATGGCTTAGCATGATCTAGCATGGCTTAGTATAGCCTAGCATAGCCTAGTATGATCTAGCATGGCCTAGCATGATCTAGCATGGCTTAGTATAACCTAGCATGGCCTAGCATGATCTAGCATCGCCTAGTATAGCCTAGCATGGCCTAGCATGATCTAGCATCGCCTAGTATAGCCTAGCATGGCCTAGCATGATCTAGCATGGCCTAGCATGATCTAGCATCGCCTAGTATAGCCTAGCATAGCCTAGCATGACCTAGCATAACCTAGCATAGCCCAGAATGACCTAGCATGGCCTAGCATAGCCTAGCATGATCTAGCATAACCTAGCATAGCTTAGCATGGCCTAGCATGGCCTAGCATGATCTAGCATGGCTTAGTATAGCCTAGCATAGCCTAGCATGATCTAGCATAACTTAGCATAGCCTAGAATGGCCTAGCATGGCCTAGCATAGCTTATCATGGCCTAGCATGGCTTAGCATGGTTCAGCATGAATAGATGCCTGGTGTGGCCCCAGGTAGCACTGGCATCTGATGACTGTCTGTCTGATGTGACCCCAGCAGGTACCCTGCCTTGTCACCTCCGTACCCTCGCCCTTCCCATTCCTGTCTCTTACTTCGCCCGTGCTTCCCTGGCCCGTTGTCCCATGTTAAATCTGCCCCATTTTTGAAGGATACTCTTTCCAGGAAAGAGCCTGTGTCCCCCAGCCAGAAGTGACTTCTCGTGGCCCTTGGAACCTGCCCTCACGTTACACCCTGTATCATGATTATTGTGACCTGTCTCTCTTGTTACACCTGTTTCCGCATCCTTGTATCCACCTACCCCTCAGCGCCAAGCCTAAGGCCCGGTTGACATTCAGGAAATTTCCAGCACATTGTACCATGGCAACAAATAACTACAGACTCCGCGTGGCTGAAACACCAGTGGCAACTTCTCTCGTGCACCTTCCCCATCCTTCAAGGCCAGCTCTTTCTCTCCAGCTTCCTGTCGTCTTCTTTCAAAGACACAGACTGAGGGGTCAGTCCCCTCGCAGGACCTGCTAGGTCAGGTGGTTGCGGGAAAAGAGGAGGTAACCGGCCAGGGAACCCTCTGGAAGCTTCTGCTGGGAGGTGGCCTATGTCACCCCTACCCACATGTCACTACCGCTCCCCTGTCATCGACCAAACTAGAGTCAGAGGCGGAGGGTCCGCAGGGTCCCTGCAAGAGAGAGACTTCCACGGGCCAGATGGATGACCCTCCCATGGGAGGGGATGATGTTTTGGTGGAGGGTGGAGGGTCTGTAGCTCAGGACTGTTAAGTGACCAGGTCATTCTGGTGATCCAATGGGCCTGGAGCCAGGTGGCCATGAGCCAGCACTCTCTGCTTCCCAGCAAATTAAGACTGAGCCAGGGACAGCCATTTTGTTCCAGTGGCCGTTTGTTCCCCAGTGACTGATGGCTGGTGGCCACGTTGGGGGCAGCGAGTCCGCCTAGGGGGTTGAGTAAGCTGCCCGTCCTGCTCTGTGGGGCTTGCCTGCCAGCGTGCAGCCCCCAGCACCCAACCTGCAGGGCCTCCCTACACAATCAGCCAGAAGCCCAGGAGATTCCAGAAATCTCCAGGCGCAGGGTGCCTCTAGAAGCTTGTGCTGTCTCTGGCGGCTCCGTGGCTGCCAAGGACTGGCTCGCAGCTGTGTGGCGGCATCGTCAGCCCCGACATGAGACGTGCAGAGAGAATCTCCACTCTGCGCCTTCACCTTTGTGAGCCCCTCTTCGGTGCTGTTTGCAGGCGATCTGCTATCAGCAAATGCCAGAGCGCGCTGCACTAAATTGCTTCTAAAAACTGATTTCACGCATGTTCCCAAAACATTCTATACACCACGGGGGCGAAGGGGGGAGAGCCATCAGACAAGGGCTCATCAGAGGCTCCATCAGTTCCCTCCGAACATGCTCCATGCCAAACCAGAACTGCATCTGGGGCCGAACACAAGGGGACCTTCCCCAGTCAGGTCGTCCTGCCGGGACGGAGACCCAGAAGCTTCCGGGAGCCAGAAAAGTAGGTCTCGAAACCGACACGCTCTGCTCTGTGTTTACACACATTTCTCTCTCTTCCCTGCCTGTGTCATCATCAAAAAAATCCTCACTCCCTGCGTCATTTTTACGGCACAAAAGCTCTGTGCGACAGGACAGCTGGTGGGCACATCGGAGCATCTCAGCTTGGGGACGGCAGTTCGCGTGGCTCAGTCGCCCCGCACGCGACCGGCGGGTCTTGTCCAGGCACGTGGCCCCTGAATTCCAGGAGCCGCCTCGAGCCCGCAGAAGCACCGGTTTCTGGGGACCTCCGTGTCCGGAGAAGGGTCGTGGGCCCAGGGTTTGAAAAGGAAACCTTGGGGTTGGAGGTCGGGGGAGACCACGCACAGACGGTTCTAACCGACTACCGGGGTAATGGCCGTGCTCAATTTCGCCTTTCACGTTTTAATTGTACAACAGTAATTTTGCGATAGAGTTGCCGATTGCAAACATGCAAAAGACATTAACTTTATTTATGTTTTGGATTATTAATGTGGCTGTTAAAATTCCTCCAGTTAGTTTTGATTGAATTGTTTTTTTGTGTGATTCTGTTGTTTAATGGAGCGGTAAATAAGAATTTCTGATAATGAGGCCAAGCATCTGTCACAACAACCTGGTGTGGGTTATTAACATTTCCATTAACGGCAGGGTGGGCAGCGATAATACGGGAACCACACAGTTAGAACAAAATAAATAGTCGGTGTCAGGCTGAGTGGGTGTTAATTACTATTTGATTCTACACTTGGGGGGGGAGAGGGGAAGGGGTGACTCTCGAAGGTCGTTCTCTCCCGAGAGCCAGCGTGCTGGGCTGTCGCCCTCGGACAGTGGCTGTTGCGTGGTCTCCGTGCGTGGCCGGGAACGTGCTTGAGTCGGAAGGCAGTGCTCGTGGGCCCGCGGGCCGAGCCCCCCCAGACGGCTCCCAGGGCTCCGGGGTCCAGCCCAGCACAGCCCTGTTGGGGTGCACACAGGCGGGAGAAGGGAAGGACTCCCGGGAGGCAGAGAGAAGTGCGTCCCGCACAGATGCCCGGCGAGGAATGCAGAGACGGAGCGGAGACGTGTCCTGTGTGTGCACACGTGCTCTCGGTGCCATCCCAGCTTCCCCAGGGCCGCCTGCCGGGCCACGGCCCCGGTGTCCTCTCCGGGCACAGCGTGGTCCCCAGGGCGGTAGGGCAGGGTCGCAATCGAGGACTGGGTCCTCAGAGTTCGAGCCATAAGGGGCCTGGGTAGAGGGCAGGGGACGGGGACCAGCCTAGGCTGGTCCCTGTCACCGCTGGAGGACGGCCCAGAACCCGGGGAGCCAGGCTCCCCGACGCGAGATTCCTGAACTTGGGACGGACACGTGGGTGCCTCATTTTCTCCGCGTTCCGTCCAAAACGCACTGCCTCCCTCCACCGTGAACACGGCAGCATGGTGCGTACGGCCAGCGGGACCCGCAGCTCGCTCAGCAACAGCCCCCCACCCACGTCCCGCGCCCACCCACGACGCACGCAGATGACCAGATCACGCTTTTGTTTCTGAACACTCTGCCAACCGCGTCTCAATATAATTATTATAATTAATATAATTTTCTTCGTAATCCTCCAGATTCCATTTTATGCCAACTGAAAACGCGGTTCCGGGAAGGGCGTGTGTGGCGCTCCCTGGCCTAAAAGCTGCACGGCCCCAGGGCAGGCTCTGAGGCCGCCCACCCTGGAGCCAGGGGCCCCGCACGCGCCAACAGCCATCTCAGCCCCTCTCCTGTGCTGCTCTCTCCCCAGCCCCGGCCATGGCCCCGCAGAACATCCAGGTGACCCCGCTCACGGCCAGCCAGCTGGAGGTCACGTGGGAGCCGCCACCACCGGAGAGCCAGAACGGGAACATCCAGGGCTACAAGGCAATGCTCTCTCGCATGGTTTGGCTCTTCCTTCCAGGTCACTTGGAGGCCCGGAGAGTGGCCGAAATCCACGGAGTTCCCAGCGGCTTCGCTGGAACCCTGGCCGCATGCCACGGCTGCTGCCCCCGGCTCACTCCGTCCTGCCCCTGCACGCGCAGCTGACCGTCAGGACGGACAGCCGGGGTCGGTGCTGAGCGGCTGGGGCAGGCTCGGCCTGACCTTGCCTCTCGGCCTGGGGGCGGGGGCCTGGTTCACCGTGCAGCTGGCTTGTGCCCGGCAGCCCCTCCCTCCCAGGCCCCGCCCAGCACCCTTCCTGCTGCTGCACCCGCTCTGGGAGCCTCCGGTATCTTTGCTGACAGCAGAACAGATCTGGCTGAAGAGAACACGTTCTCCAGCCCGACCCTGCCCTTGGATCTCTGTTGAATATTTCATGAGGCCCAGGGCAGGGGGCCCAAGAATTTGCATTTCTAGCAAGTTCCCCCAGGGGTGTGGTTCCTAGGCACCCCACATTGAGAACCACCACACTAAGGTTCCACGTTAGCTCAACATTCCGGAGATGGGGCAAAGGAAAGACAGGAGGCCAGTGAGTAATTACCCAGAGTAGGTTCATCTGGGGGCGGGAAGCTCCTTGCACGCCTGCCTGGAAGGCCACGTTTTCGGAGAGAAGTCAGAAGGATCAGCTAAAAACAGCCTGAAGAAAGCAGCCCGGGGCCGTCCCTTGAAAACTCCCCCTTCCTTCTCCCGAATGACTCTCCCCGACTGGTATGTCCGGAGCCCAGGTTGGTCAGTCATCAGCTTCTGTGGGCCAGCCTGCCCTGATGACTATTGGGCCAATTAAATGTCCATTTAAAAATGATTTTGGTCGGTGTTTTATGAAAATAAATACCTTCCTCCACGGCAGGGCTGTTACAGTGATTAATGAGGTAATGGGAAGTCTTACGAGCTTGGAGGCAAGATGCTATTTATGTATGTCCAAAATATGTTTTCTAATTTCCTTAATGATAAAGACATTGAACTTGGGTATTGATCTCAAGTCAGTAAGGCCTGTTCAAGCGTAGGATCAGATTTGCTCAGTTCCGAGAGCAGGACCGGACCGTATCTTGCGGGCAGGAGTCAGCAGTGCTCGTGGCCGGGAGCCCACGTGGGGGCAGAAAACCTGTCCCAAGCTCTCTGCGGCTCTCTGCCCTGTGGGCCAGTGGCCCTGGTGGCCTGGCTGGGTTTCGCCCCCCGGAGCCGAGGTGGGTGTTGTCTTTGGGCGGCCGGGCTCGCGCCGGCTCAGGGCAGTGGGAAACGGTCCTGCCAACCCACCTCCTCCAGCCTCTGTGCTTGGGCCTCAAGTCCGCCCGTGAGCATGTGCAGGCCGGGCGGTGGGGGGCAAAGTGAACCCAGGAGAAACACGGGCCGAGGTCCAGTCCTGCCCAGCGCTCACTGGGCACCTCCCCCACCAGTTTAGAAACCAGGGCTGCCACCCCTTCCCTGTGGCCCCGTGGCCCGCCTCCGACCTCTGGCTCTTATCGGCAGGTTTACTACTGGGAGGCAGACAGCCAGAACCAAACAGAGAAGATGAAGGTCCTGTTCCTGCCGGAGACCGTGCTGAAACTGAAGAACCTGACCGGTCACACCCCTTACCGGGTCAGCATCTCGGCCTTCAACGCGGCTGGAGACGGGCCCCGGAGTGACCCCAGGCAGGGGCGCACCCACCAGGCCGGTAGGAGAGCGGCGTGTTCCGCGGGCTCCCCTTCCCCACGGCCTCGGGTGGCCGAGCCAGGCCGGATGAGCGGCCCCTCCCTGTCCCCACAGCCCTTTGCTCCGCCCAGCCTGTGACGCACGGCTGTCGTGTGCCCGGGGCTTTCTGGAGAGAAAGGCCTGGGTTGCATTCAGCTGCTTTCCCCAGTGCCCAGCCCTGGCCTGCTGCGCGGCGGCGCCCGTGAGACGGCACCTGTTTCCCGAGGACCCTCCCGGGTCGCCGAGGGCAGGAGGGCTCCGCCTCCGCACCCAGGCCACCTTCCGGTTCCCTCGGGGAGCTTCTTGCTGGGGCTCGGCACCGGCGTGTCCAGATCCCGGGGGAAGTGAGTTCTTTGTACGCCGAGCCCAGGCCACAGCGTCGGGCGCTTCCAGGGTCGCCGGGTTTCAGGGCCACACCCGCAACAGCTTGCAGCCGCTTCTCAGACACCCGCCACCAGCCAGGCGAGAGCACTGCACTGCCACGTGCCTCGTCGCCTGTGGCCCCACATCCACACACACAGCACGTGGCTCCCTCTGTCATGAGTGCCAGCTCCCCAGCGGCCTAGAGAACATGAGGAAGCGAGTCAGGATTCCAAGGGAATGTCAGCTTAACCCTGGTCCCGCGGACCTGGGATGCACTTTGTGGGACCCAGGAAGTGTAAGGCTGGGGAAGTCAGGGCGACCCGTCCCGCTCGGGGCTCCCAGGCATCCTGCGTCCTGCCTGAGAGAGGACTGGCCAGCGTGCCGGGACTCTTTCCTCTGGGTCTCGTCCAGCGGCCGGACAGGGGCCGTTTCTGGAATCCAGGGTGGGTCACCCGTTCCTCACCAGAGCACTGGGGACTGGGCAGGCCACGGGGCAAAAGGGCCCCCAGGGACTGGAAAGACAGCAGATGGGGGTGTGGAGGGCTGATTGGGTGGGGGGGGGCAGCTCCGGGCACAGACCCCCACACGGAGCCCAGGCAGGGGGCGGTGAGCAGGGTCAGCAACCCGGCCACCGCCTGGCTGTCTGCGTTCTGCGGGCAGCTTCCCCCCGCCCGGGGCCTCACTGGGCCCCCCTGTCCCCAGCCCGAGGGCGGACACTGTGACGTTTCAGAGGAGGGCCGGCTGGGGCCCCAAGGGAGAGGCCAGGAGAGGTGGGCAGAGCCTCACGGGGCTGTCTGCATTTCATTCTTTACTCATCTTTCTGCCTTTGTCACCGCGTCCCTTAGGCTCCTTGTGTTTAAACCCCCATCATCTTGTCTCCTCTTCTCGGGAGAGTCCAGGTGTCTGATTGATCCTGGGAAGTTCAGAGGTGGTCTCACGGCGTTGAGACTTTTACGGAGTTGAAAATAACATCTAGTAGCGCTTTTATCGTACGTGGAGGCACAGACATGTGTGGAAATGGTCTATGAAGGAGCTTTACCAACAGTCCCTTCACATCCCATTCTTCCAGCTCCGGGGACCCCCAGCTTTTTGGCGTTCTCAGAAATAACCTCTACCACGCTTAACGTCTCGTGGGGCGAGCCGGTGGCAGCCAATGGCATCCTGCAGGGCTACCGAGTGGTCTACGAGCCCTTAGCGCCCGTGCAAGGTAAGGCCAGGGGCGCGCACGGGGAGGGCACGGCACTCCACAGCATCTGCAGGGCAGGGAGTCTTGTCTGCCAGAGGCACGGCGAGGAGGGCGTAAAGCCCAGTACGAGGGGGGGGGGACAGAAGAGGAAACCAGCAGCTTCCGGGCAGGAGGGGGTGCCGGCCGAGGGCGGGCTTCCCCCGGAAACGCGCGTGGCCAGACTGTAAACGTTGTAGATTATTTAATGCCTAGGAGGAGAAAATATAACCAACGCATCGAATAATATTGGCGCTCCATTTAAAGCCGTGATAAAAGTTTCCTTTTAAAATAAGTACATTCAAGTAAAACGGGGGGCTGATTTGAGGAAAATTTAAGCACCAGATTTCATTTCATCGAATCTAAAATGCCATTATCGACTGTAAGATTCATTGTTATTTTACGAAGTGCTAAGAAAGAAAAAAGGCCGGCCGTAAACCGCAGCCCAGTATGTTGGCATCATCAACCCCAAATCAGAGATGTAAACACGTGAGGGGAGAGAGTCTCAGACAAGCAATGGATGCGCTTTGGTACATAACAGTAGAGGTGGTACGGGTGTGCGGTGTGTGAAATGGCGGAGGGCACGGGCCCGGCCCGAGATGGCGCGGCCACACCCGCTGCGTCCTCTTCAGGGCCCAGTGCCTGCGTGGGGACCAGGTGGCCCGGGCGTTGCAGACGCCTTTTAACTAGTGCCACACGCAACGGGGAAAGGATGGCCAAAAATCATGGCCCCGAGCCACCTTGGAGCCCGTCTCCATCAAGGTACGGGTTTTCCTGCACCTCCTCAAATAAGTGACTTATTCTGCATCAATGCGCTTGTAGAATCTCTCTAGAAACTCCGTGGCATGCACGCCTCGGCCCCCGGGCTGGCTGCCTTCGTCTTATAGAAGTACTTACCATCCAGGCAAGACCGTGGCCGTGGCCTCTGCCCGGTCGGGAGCCACGGTGGGCCCTGCCTCGCGATCCCCCGATGTCTGCGTTCCGACGTCCCGGAGTCCTGCCGGCTCGCCACACATCTGTCCCCACGGCCTCCCCCTACCTTCCAGGGAGATGACCCTGCACATCTGGTTCCCCGGGCCTTGTCGGGGCCGTGGTCACGTGGCCTCTGCAGCAGCACGGCCGTGGCTCACCAGACGCCGTCTACACGCCCGGCACTGAGCAAGGGCACACGCTCTCTCTGAGTCCTCACGCGGCGGCCGGGCCGCCTTTATTAGTATTTCACAAGAAATCAGGCTCCGAGCCCTTAAGTCGACCGCCCAGGGCCTGCAGGTGGAGAATGCGGACACACGTGGGGTTTGGCCCCAGGTGGGCTGGTTTGAGAGCCCGTGATGGGGAAATGTCTGGAGCACGTGGGCTTTGGGGGGGACACGTGCCACAAATGTCACAGCGGGGAGCGGGAGAAGCGGTCATCAGCGTGTCACAGCTGCCCATGGCGCTTGTCTCCCTCCCTCCCGCCCTCGCTCTCTCTCTCCCTCTCTCCCCCCCCCCTCCCCCTCCCTCCCTCCCCTCTCCCTCCCTCCCCTCTCCCTCTCTCTCTGGTGACAACAGGCAGATCTTCTTGGTTGCAAGCATCTCGCCTCTTTTCACAAGTAGTAAGACCCTCTGTCACTCCGTTGGCCCTCCTGTCTGTCGGGAGGGCTGGTTCCTCTGCCTGGGTTTTCCTGTCTTTGGCAGTGAGTATATACGCTCTGGAACCGGGCAGGAGAAGGTACTTTCAGTCAGCAGCTCACAGGTCTCTCCAGAAGCTCGGGGTGCAGTCCCTGGGCGCTTGAGACCCAACCATCCAGACCCCCCAAACCTTGGCCCTGAAGGCGGCACGGGCATACCCCCGACCCCCTGATTCCTGCTCGTCTGTCATGCGGCTGGTCCGGGCCTGGGGCTGGGGATGGTTGCTTCACAGCTGCCGCTAAGCTGCAGACTCTGCTGGAGTCGGAGGGGCCTCCGCTGGGTCCTTCCTCTCAGCCGCAGACCCCCTCCTGAAACCGCTCTGCCCCTGCTCCAGCCGGGGGTGAGGCTGGCCTCGCCCCCGCCCCCACCCATCCTCCCTGTCTGGAACCCAGCAAACAGCCTGTTCCCCATGAGCAGAACCCACCAGCCCTCTTCCTGAGTGCCCCTGACCCTGTGACCTTCCGGGGGTGTCCCTGACCACTGGCCAACACCAGTGTTGCTTTTCCGGGTCCCACCATGTGCCTGCCTGGTCTGATGGCATCTGCCAGAGCCCCTGGCTTAGCCAGACAGCAGCCGACAGATCCGACCCCTTCTAGCTGGCCACGCTCTGCAGCCACACGGGCCAAAGGAGGAACGCAGGCCGGTAGAGGGCAGGAACTCAGAGCAGGAGAGACTTTCCTGTGGCCTCTCTCCACCCCCAGGCCCGTCGGGGGCATTTTGACCTGAGGCTAGAGAGGGGAGGAGGGGATCTTTCAGGTGAAAGTGAGGCCGTGCTGTCACATACGCAAAAGGACCAGACGCTCCGAGTGGCTAAACAGAAGGCAGCTTTGGGAAGCACACACAGCACGGCGTCCTGCGCCCGGCTGAGGTCAAAGCATCCGGCCCCTCGTCCGGCCCTCGCTGTCCCGCCTCCGTTCCCAGACCCTTGTCTCCCCGAGAAGCGTATTGTCCCCTCCCCTAGGGCATCGGCTGGCCGGTCTGATCAGCGTGCGGGCCTCTCGAGTGGGGGTCTCTCGGAGGAACCCAACCCTTGCCTCCTTCACGTTGGATCCCGATTTCCAACAGGGAATCGCGGGGGTGGCAACCAGGTCTCCGAACAATTTCCAGTTCTTCAAAATGCCTCACAGAACCGCTGCATTTCCAAGAGATGTGGTTGCAAGTGTGGTGAAAACATCTGGGGCTGGAATCCTACTAACTCTGCGGTAACGCCAGCCCTCCCGTGAAGGCGGTTACGGACATGGAGGGCCTCTCTGTGCGGCAAAGACAGGGAGGAAGGCCGTCAAACGGTCGTCTCACCCGCTGGCCATTCTGCTGGCCGGCCGGACGTTCCTCGAGAGCAGAACACCCACCTGGCACGGGCAGACCCTGCCTGCGATCCCTCCACGGAGAAGACAGGCCCGGCTCCTCCCCCGCCGTCCCCCGCCAGTGCCCTGGTCACGGTGGGGAGCACCGAGCCACACGGAGCAGGAGCCGTGTTCTTAGGGAATGGGTTTTATGGCAGAGTTACTTTTATGTTTTTTAAGATGTTTTAAACGGTAGTATTTTATGTGATTGCACCCCGGGGCTTTGTATTGCAGGGCACGGTTTACAAATGGACTAAATAAATAAGATTCTGACATAGTCGAGATGCAGGGGAGGCCAGACTAGCTGTACGTCCTAGTGGGATAGAATTCACAAAATCCATACATGGGTTTGTTTCTGCTCTGGGGAACAGGAAGGCATTTTTTAACAAAACATAAAAAAAAAAAAAAAGTGAGGGGGGCTGCTCTCCAGATTAATTTTACATCCAAATGGACCCCATCCGTTTGCTTATGATGGGCAGTGTGTGTGCAAACTGGCATCCCAAAACCCCTTCCTTGAGCCATGCAGGGTGAGGGCCAGGCTCCCTGGGCAGAAACGGCCCTGTTTCTCTACAGAAAAGCTCAAATTTGGAGGCCACTCAAACGCAGGCAGGATCACTCTGAAATCATCTGGAAGGGAGTCATTTAGCTGAATCAGTGTTCTATAAAAGGCACGATATGAACACGGCGAGCCGACTGGAAGGTACTTGGAGAGCTGTAGGCTAAGAGACACTCGCTTTGATGAGTTTGAAGGATGAGCCCATTTCGTAGTAAGGACGCACTTGGCTGGGCTCTTCTGAGGTCAGGGCCACACGGGGATGGAAGGTGCCGATGGCTTTGGCTGCTCGCACTGAGGGCAGGCCCGGCGGTGGCCACGCCGGGCAGTGTGTTCACGGTGCATGTGGGCCGTGCTGGGGCCGTGCAGGTGCCGGGCGGTGCTCCTGGCGGGCTCTGCTGACCAGTGTCAGAGGGGCCACCTCACCTCTTCCTGCTCCTCCAGGGGATGAGCCGTAGACACCGGTATGTTGAAAGCTCTCAGAAATCCCGAGTGGAGAGCCTGCGAGGCCTTTTTGTAATACGTCATCTTCAAACTTACTTAACCAGGGAGCCCCATCTCCGTCCTGGAAAATGCTGCGTTCGTATGGTTTTCACTGTGCGTCTTCCTCCCGAAATGTGGAATCTCAGTTCTCCAGCTACACCGAATACAACCAACACTTTCTCTTCGTCTGCGTGTTCATGAGCGAAAACGTTGTCTCTCCGTGGTCAGAGTTGTCTGAACCTGGGCAGTGATATTTGCAGCGACAGCCTTTCTCTGTCCTTGCTTTGGAGTCCAGGAGAAAGTTCTCACGAGGGGCCGGAGGCCTCTAGGCCACTGCTTAGCCAGCCCAGTCAGGCTGGAGAGCCCCACTTGGAGGAAGCCCAGCTTTTAGCTATGATGAAGGTTCCTGCCTCTTTTTCCCCGTTCTCTCCTCCGAAGTCCGGAGGCTCCAGGTCACCTGCACAGGTGACACAGAGCTCAATGCGGCTCGGAGTGCAGCGGGAGGGGAGGGGGGCCCGGGCCGGGGGCAGGAGCACGGGGGCCTCCCCGGTGTGGTGAGGGAGACCTGGGCCACCTCCCCGCGCCGCACCGTGAGGCTGGCTCTTGGGTTTGTCAGCCCCACGTACTGGCTTAAACTCTAATTACACTTATCTGTGCTGAAAATTGGCTATCACCACCACTTAAACTCCTCCTAATTGCAAGAAATAGTTCCTCAGCAAGCTGGGGACGCCGTCCTTGTGGTCGCGGTGGAATAGGCGGCGTCCGGCCGCGTCTCTAACTCCGGCCACCTCCTGGCCTTTGCTCTCGGTGGTTCCAGGGGTGAGCAAGGTGGTGACGGTGGACGTGAAAGGGAACTGGCAGCGCTGGCTGAAGGTCCGGGATCTCACCAAAGGAGCGACCTACTTCTTCCGTGTACAAGCGCGGACCATCGCCTATGGCCCCGAGCTGCAAGCGAACGTCACGGCCGGGCCCGCCGAGGGTAAGTGGAGCTCCGCCGGGGGCCCCGCGGCCGGTGCAGCGCGAGCGGCCCACCCTGGGCTCTGTCCGGTCAGAGGGTCCCCCCTCACTGCCCGGCAAGCAGCTCTGGCCCACCCAGAGCGGCCATAAACGCAGGAATGTTCCGGCAGCATGGGTGTCTCCAAACACCTGTGTTAGCAGCAATGTCTACAGACAGGCTTGTTATGTGCAGACCAGCGAACTCTTCGGTGTTAAGCATGTCAAGTTTGGGGCTGTTTTCTGGAAAAACTTGGGAAAAATGAATTTTTGAAATTAGATACACAAGAACTTGTGTTTACATTTTATTAAGTTTATTTTTGAGAGAGAGAGAGAGAGAGAGAGAACAAGCGGGAGAGGGGCAGAGAGAGAGAGGGAGACATAGAATCCAAAGCAGGCTCCAGGCTCAGCTATCAGCACAGAGCCCGATGTGGGACTCAAACCCACAGACCGAGATCATGGCCTGAGCCAAAGTTGGACACTTAACCGACTGAGCCACCCAGGCACCCCCATACACAAGAAAATCTTAAAGTGTTCACGTCGCAAAGAGGAGCCACGTGGCTTCCCACCCACCTAAATGGTTTTGGCATTTGTTGACATCCTTAGCAAGGCGAGGGTGACAGGACCTCGGTTCACAGGGTGCACGCCCCACGCCAGGCACGATCCTGGGCCCGTTGCACAGCCCATCTCTGCTCACGTCCGGTCAACCCGGGAGGCCAGGGTGGCTTTCCCACGTCCGGGATGAGAAGACTGTGACAGAGCGAGGCTAAGCCACATGCTTGGGGAAGTAGACAGAACCTGGCCAGAGCCGCCGACCCCCTGTGGGATGAGGAGCCCCCAAGTGCCCACGTCCACCCTCCCCTGTCTCTTTCCTCCCGCAGGCTCCCCGGGGTCCCCCAGAGATGTCTCGGTCAGCAAGTCCGCCTCTGAGCTGACCCTGCAGTGGACGGAGGGAAGCGTGGGCAGGACTCCCACCACGGGCTACGTCATCGAGGTCAGGCCCTCAGGTAAGGAGGGGGTTAGGCGCCTGTCAAGGAGCCTGTTCAGCCTAGCGGAGGCGAGTGTCAGGGCCCTCCGGCCTCCGTTTGGCCTCTCTCTAAAGACGTGGAGACCACGAGGGCGACTCGAGGAAGGGCGAGGCACGTCCCTCCCTCCGCCGTAACCTCGCGGGCCTGAGATTCTCGATGGTTGGCCACAGTACACGTGCCTCAGAGCCCGGTCGTCGTCATCCTCAGAAACATGTACATGAAAACACAGGGACGCTTACAGACACTTGCGGCTCCTCGGGAAGATCCAAGAGTGTTTTGGGATGCTCGCCTCAGGCTCCGCCTGTTTGCCCCGACGGACAGAGTCCCGCTCGCTCCCGATCAGGGCACAGATTCCTGTCCACGCCCTCTGCCCCATCTTTTAGGCTCCCGAAAATGAGGTCTCAGTCCATTCCCTGCCCTATCTGCCCGAGGAGGGTTTTCGCTCTCTTCCTCCCGTTCAGCTGTAATAACGAAGCGTGGACGGTGCTGGAAGATCAATTTCTGCCGCGTGGAGTCGGCTACTACTCCTTGGAGCCATGGGGGCATCACCCAATGCAGAGAACACCGAGCACGTCCACTGTGGCCTGCAGGTGGTTGCACGTTGAATCGTGAGCACCTGAGCACGAAAATATAGGGTGTGCCAGGGCTGCGGGCAGAGAGCCCTCTGCCAGAGCCCACCCTCAGCGCCGGGCGTCATTTTAGCCGGATATTTAAAGAAGCTATCACACCAAGAGGGAAGGGCTGTGAAGTCACTTAGGACTGTGCCAGGTGCCCCTCCCCCATCAAAGTGCTTTTTCAGAGGTTACTCGTTGTAAGCACCTCCTAGAAACTTCCAGGTAGAAATCTGGCGCCCGAGACCCAAACAGGCCCTGTGAAAGGCAATATGTAAAGTTCTTCAGCCCCTGAACTCACACGTTCACCGTGCCGCCCCGAGGGGTCCTGGAGCTTATGCTGAGCGAGGCTTTCGGCCTGTTCTGGAAACGGAGGGTCGCGGATGGGCGACGGGCCTCCTGCGGCCACTGGGTTCCCCTGCCCCGTCCCTCTGAAAGCCGGCAGCCCCGAGAGCAGACAGCAGACCCTCCGCCGAGGACGCTTGATCCCACGGCACCTTCAGAGATTGGCAGGAGCCTCGAATACAGGCCTGGTTAGGTCTGGGCCCAGCTGAGGGCTGAGGAGCCTGCACGGACGGACCCCAAGGAAGGAAGTCGACCCTTTCTCCCCGAATCTAGGGAGAGCGTTCATTGCACAGGTTCCTTTGTGCCCTTTCAGGCTACCAAGGGCTCCTGAGAGAATTCGGGAGATCTGTGGACATCGCTCACCACCAACTGACCTTCAGCGTTTTCTTCCCTCACGAACGTAGGCGTGTTCGTGTATTCTGGCTGCTATGACCACGTACCCCGCACTGGGCGGCTTACCCCGCGGCACGTACTGTCTCCCGGTCTAGAGGCCGGGTGTCTGAGGACAGGCGTGGTGGGGTTGGGTCCTGTGAGCTTGTGAGCGGAGGTCTGCTCCGTCCTCTCCCCCGCCTTCGGGTGGTTTGCCATCAACCCTGGGCCTTCTTGGGCTATGGAGGGATTTCCCGCCCCCTCCCTCCCATCTCCACCTTCTCTCTGTGTGCCCTCCGGTCCCTGTGCCCGAACTTCCCCTTCTATGAGGACACCAGTCATACCGGGTTAGGGCCCACCCCCAAGACCTCACCTCGACTAATTACATCTGCAAAGACCCTCTTTCCAAATAAGGTCACATTCTGAGACATTGGGGATAGGACCTCGACCACGTGAATTTTGAGGGGTCACAATTTGACCGACAACAGTTGGGTTGAAACCGCATAAGTAACTTCCCAACCTGTGGAATTGTCAGCAGTAGAAACCACACTGGTTCCCATCCCGACCCGGCTGGGGTGGGTGTTTCACAAGGTGGTGGGCCTCGCCATCCAGATGTTCCCTGGAACTTGTGCTCCAGCGCGGCCCTGGAGGAATCCAAGCCTTTGCACCCCATCTTCCAAAGAACCACGGATCCCGACAGGTGCATCAAAAACCACACGTGACCCACACAGTCAGCATCCCTAGGACACAGGGTTGCTGTGAACCTCCAGTTCCCTCTGGGTAATTACAGTCATTAGCAGCATAGCTGGCTTCCTTCTTAGTTTTATTTTCTGCATCTAAAGCCGTTCTGAGAAGGGCTCCCTTCAGAGTCAGCAGATTGCCGGAGGGGTCCGTGGCACCGGGAGGAGACAAGAAGGCTTGTCCTCGGTGACACAAGTGGAAGACCTTTGCCAAGTCATTTCCTTCGGCCCGCACGCTTGCTCCCCGACAGAGTGTTAAAAACCCCAGTGGATGTATAGATGTGAGAGGCCACAGCGGGGTCTCTGGGGCGACGGAAACGCTCTGTGTCTGGACCATGTCGACGTCAGTTCCCGGTTGCGATGCTTCGCTGTTGTTCTGAGGGGTGATACCATCGGGGGACCCCGGATACAGGACGCATGGCATCTCTCCATAGTATTTCCCATAACCGTGTGGGGCTCTACAGTTATCTCAACATAAAAAGCTCCACTCAAGATTTTAAATTTTTTTTTTTTTAACGTTTTTATTTATTTTTGGGACAGAGAGAGACAGAGCATGAATGGGGGAGGGGCAGAGAGAGAGGGAGACACAGAATCGGAAACAGGCTCCAGGCTCTGAGCCATCAGCCCAGAGCCTGACGCGGGGCTCAAACTCCCGGACCGCGAGATCGTGACCTGGCCGAAGTCGGACGCTTAACCGACTGCGCCACCCAGGCGCCCCTCCACTCAAGATTTTAAAATACATACGTGTATCCCACGGACGGTGTCCTCTTCAGTCAAGTGCAACGGCACGTCTTTGAAATGAGCATTCTCATGTCAGATCGGCCGTGGGGAATGTGCCACAGCAGCAGCCAGACACGGGCGCAAGGGCTCGGAATCCTAACAGTGCAGAGCACATTCCGGCACCTTCTGAGGAAAGAGAAGGTATTGATCCTCAGACTTGCCTGGGGGGCCATTTAATTTCTCATCAGGTTATCAGATGCTCACGCGTCCACCGTAGCGAAGGAAGCCGGTGGCCTGTTGGCCAGAAGTGCAGCTTTAGGGAGTCTGCGAGGGGGTGTGTGAGGAAGAGCTGATCGGGGTGCCGGCCCGGGTCTCATACTGAGCCCCCCCCCCCACGGAGGTCCTCGGCCGAGCGGGCGCCTCCTGAGACCAGCGAGGCCCGGGGGTCGTGCCGCCACGTGGAAACCAACCCCCAGGGACTGAGACGCCACAGGAAGCTGGCCTGCAAGACGCCGTCTCGTTCAGCGGGCGCGAGAGATTTTGCCTCCCCTGGCGTCCTGCGACCGATTCCCCCTTTCAGAGCGTCCGCCCAAGCAGAGCGGCTGCAGGACTTCGCCGTCTTCCCGCGGAAAGGCCTCCTCCCTCCCGTGACTGAGGCCAGCAGCGACGCAGAGGCAAATGAAATGCTTTTATGGATTGTCAATATTTAAACACCTTGCTGGTGCCTTAGGGCTTTGGATCTCAGCTGCCATCTATTACAGGCCTCATTACACAACACATTAAACGCTCTATCTTATTTTCTCCACCGAAGCTCTCTGGCAAGACTGTCTCCAGGCAGGGGCGTGGGTGTCAAAGGGAGTGGGGATTTGGTGGACAGGCCCGGGTTTTCGTGAAGAGGCCTTATTTTTTATTGGGGGTGGGGAGGGCAGGAGCCACCCGGCACACAGGTGACACCCGGCACACCCCTAGGTATCTGGGAAGCCTGAGCCACTTGGCACTAGGTGGCCCCTGGAGCCCCCACCTGTCTGCCCGGCCTGCCGTCTTGCTGTCCAGCTGAGTCTCTGTCTCAACCCCCAGGAGGCAGGTGGCTGATCAGCTGGGTGGCTGGCACCTCGAGGTGGCCAGCGGGCTCGGGCAGCCCCCCTCACCCTTCTGGACCCTCAACTGTCACCCCTACAATCTCTGCAGAGTAGCTCACTGCTTCCCTAACGTGGAGACAGAACCAGACGGCGGCGGTGACATTACTGTCGGGCTGGAGCCCAGAGTCCGTCTTACTCTGGGGAAGGACAGTCAGGGAGTGCGGGCGCGAGGACAGCCTGGCCAGAGACACCTCTCTCTGGTTACGTGCACGTTTGCTCTGAATCCACGTTGCAAAGTTCCCTGGAAGGCGACGGAGACTATGCAGTGGGCACAGGCGGATGATTTATTTACACAAATTACCCCAAGGCATTTTACTGTGTAGATCACGAAACCTAATTTACATATTTACACAATAGACCGGAATGGCAGCAAGGGAACTATAAATATATTTTCCTCTCCGAAGCGGCCGTGAAATACATACTTAGGACGTACCCGGTGCAGACAGACATTGTATTGCCTTTTTCACAAGCAGCATCTTTAGCCCAGAGATGAGAGCTGGTCCCTCCTCGTCCCCATCCCCGATCTGGACCTGCCTCATCCACGCGGAGTCCCCCTGGGAGCCCCCCACCCGCCTCCCCACTCCCCACCGTCAGCCTCTGGCCGAGGGATTTTCAGTTGAACAAGGAACAAAATCAGTCTTTTCCCAAAGGTTTTAAAACCCATGGAAATTCCCAAGTCAGCAAATTCAGCAGGGGGAAGGAGCCGCGGGCACAGGTCCGGTGGCGCCCGGCCTGGCACCCACTCCCGGCCTCCTCACACCCACATCCGCTGACCGCCCGTCCGCCGGGGCTCCCTGCCGCCCGCTGGGCTCAGCCTGTCACGGGCCTCCTTTGCTTCTAGACATTCATCCCCGCTTGTCTCCCGCCTTACAACTGGATCAGATACAAGGGAATTTTTTTTCCTGCCCCGCGAGGTATTTAGCCTCATGTTTGAGCCCCACCTGCTTCAGTCAAATTTCGGACCGAGATTGACCACGGATACGACAGAAATGGCAGCGTCGAAGAAACACACGGCCGACAGGCGTCCATTTGCTCCGAGCCACAGCCTGACAGTCACGTTGTTGGTGACATGAGTTAGTGGAACCAGAAATCTCGGGCCCGTGAGTGACAGTTTCATTCAGCACGGAGACCCTGTTTAATTGTCCGTGAAATCAAACTTTCGTGCTGGCCTGGCATCCGCCTGAATACCTGCGGCACACAGCTCCGTTCTGGGCGTTCGAGGGATAAATCGAGCGACCCGCGGATGTGCCCGAGCTGGGCTCCGTCTCGATCCAGAAGAGAGGTGTTCGTGTTCCCACGTTTATTAGGACATCGTCTGGGAGCTGATGTGCCTCCCGCTGCCGGGGCGGGGGAGAGGCCGGGCTGCCCGTTCTGTGAGCCGCAAGCAGGCCTGTCGCGAGGCAGCAAAACCGTTCAGACCGGAAGAGGGTTCTTTCCACAAGGACCTTGACCATCGGCTGCTTCCCCGTGTCTGACGCACAGATAATGGGCTGCAGGCGGCAGAGACAAAGAGTTCACGTTCTTTCCCGAAACATGAGCCCGCTGAGGAGCCAGACCGTGTGTGTGGCTTCTTACCACCTCCCCCGAGGCTGGTGGGACCTGGGGTGTCTTTAGGGATAATTGCAAAGTTTCTCTCTCAGCGGTGCCCCCCCCCACCCCACCCCACGCTTAGCTGGTGGGGGCAGGATTGCTGTCCCTGGCAGGTGTTTGAGTGGCGAGAGTCCAGGGAGGTGCTCCCCCAGGTGTCCAGGAATAGGGGGCAGGCCCCGCCACACCAGTGTGATTTGGGCTCACTCCCCCGCCACGGGCCCCCCTCCCACAGACATCAAGACCACGCCCCCAGGAAGTCCAACGCCCCGGAGCCCGCAGAGGACACAGCACGGGGCATCAGCCATTCAGGGATGCAGCTTTGGAAGGTATCTGGACACAGGAGCTCCCCGAGCGCAGACGGGAAGGCAGGCCGGGGCCCCCTGAGCATCCCAGTGGGGGCCAGTCTCACCTGGGTCTGAGGGCTGGCTGAATCGGACCCCCAGAACCGCCTTTGGAACGAGCGAAGGCCCACACTGCTCTCAAGTGTTGATTGAGATGGAAATCCGGACGCTGGGGATTATCCCTATGCATGGAAAATCAGTTGCACAAACCTCATTATGGCTAATAGTTCTGTAATGTTATTTTCCCCCCTAATTTGTAGAGATACTTTTCTCCATCATTGATTTATTGAGATACTTAACGGCATAATACAAACGAGAAAAAAACAATCCACGGTGGGGAAAGAGAGTGGACGCGTTAACAGCTGCCAAGTTTTCTTACCCACTCATGATCACGATGTAAAGATCAGTACAGATAAATAGCCCTGTGAATTGGAAGCAAATTCTAAAATGCAAAATGTGCTAATTTTGGCAAGGAGGAATTAAGCAAAATAAAAATGTGAACATTTTCTTCTCGTAGTTCAGAAGGAAATTCTCTCGGCATGACTCTCCCTCCCCCAGCATTTTTCAGTGTAAACGGATTGCTATATAAATTGTTCTGTGTTGAGATTCTATATCAATATTTTAAAATGTTTTTATGAAAAATGCACACAATTCCTGGGGCTGTGACAGAGCGCTTAAAATAAAATGTGGCCTTTAGGTGACGGTGGAGGAAGGGGAAATAATTTTTTTTCTTCGGGAGCAGGAAAGCATTACAGAAACATTCATGCCAAAGACACTTGGAGAAGTCATTCCAGAAGAGTTCAGACCTGCTCTTAACAGTCTGAGAATTCCTTTCACACTTAGTCCCTGCACTGCAGTGGTTCAAGCAACATCCAGTTTAAAAGAGCTTATGTATTTTTTTTTTTGCTTGTCTTTTTTACAGCATAAAATTGTCTTCCCCTTTTAGAAGAAAAACACTGCAGGGGCACCATGGTGGCTCAGTTGGTTAGGCATCCTACTCTTGATTTTGGCTCAGGTCATGATCCCAGGCTCACAGGATCAGGCCCCGATTCAGGCTCGACGCCTGCTTAGGATTCGGTTTCTCTGTCTCCCCTGCCCCTCTCCCCCGTTCCCTCTCTCTCTCACACACAAAAAAGAAAAGAAACAATTCAGTCAGCATTTAAAGCGCTTAGAATAGTGACTTGCTCATAGTAAGTGCTAAATAAAATGGTGGTGGTTGTTTACTGAAAAGCTGATTGTGCTAGGCCCTGCAAAGTGCTATGGGGAGGTAAAGATGGATGGATAGAAGGATGGATGGATGGATGGATGGATGGATGGATGGAAGGAAGGAAGGATGGTGGAAGGGAAGGGAAGGAAAGGAAAAGAAAGGAAGGAAAATGGGTGGATGGATGGAAGGATGGATGATGGATAGATAAAAAGATTGATGGTGGAAGGAAGGAAGGAGAGGTAAGTGGGTGGATGGCTGGAAGGAAGGAAGGATGGATGGATGGATGGGTCGAAGGATTGATGGTGGAAGGAAGGAAGGAAGGAAGGAAGGAAGGAAGGAAGGAAGGAAGAATGGATAGATGGGTGGGTAGAAGGATTGATGGAGGAAGGAAGGAAGGAAGGAAGGAAGGAAGGAAGGAAGGAGGGAAGGGAGGGGAGGTAAGTGGGTGCAAGGATAGAAGGATGGACCACCCCAACAGATATTTATTGAACTCTTGAAGACTCGGAGGGCACCGTGGTGCCGAAAGGTAAATGTGAAAGAGTGCTCAGAAAGCCAGTTGGTGGAGGCATCCCCCTTGCTAAAGCGTAGGAGTGAGGTCAAGACGAGTCTGAAAGGGTGAAATGACTTGATGTTCCTCCGCACACTGCCCTTAGACTAGGAGCTGCTCGTGCGAGCAGAAATCTCACCTGATTCCCCGATGGGCGGAACAGCCCAAGCAAAGAGTGAGCACGCGAGTGTCTGTGGAATGAACGTGTGAATGAACGGGAGGCAGTGGAAGGGGAGGAAGGGGCCACTGGGGCAGAGCAGGGCTATAGAGCAGGGCACTCTCGGTGCCCATTATTTCCTGGTCATTGTCATGCAAACTCAGAACGAAAACCACAGCCGACAGCCACCCCGTGTGCAAACTTCAGCGTGTCGGGTGGTGGGGGGGACTTGGAGCTGTGGCTGGCCGGCCATTTTGACGTGATTAGCCATAACGGGCACCTCGGTGAGGAACGAGTGTAAACGTGAAAGTTGAGGAATAAATGATCATTGTGCTCTTTTTCTGCCCGTCCAGAGATTTGTGCCTTTAAAATCTCATTCACGTCCGTGCCTTCGTTAACCTGTGACTGTAAGGGCTTAATCGGTGCAAACTCTAAATCCTATGCAAACACAGACTTATACGCCAGCACCTTTCTTCCTGTGTACTGTTGGGCTAATCCACTCGAGCGCATCTGGCGTTCCAAGGTGTGTGAGCAGGTTGGTGCCAGATAACCCTCAGCTCTCTGCAAAGCTGTCCGCACGTGTGCGTGCATACTCAAACGTGCCTTTCCTCTCCGGACCTCCTGCTCTCTTTAAAGGATCACATACCTGTACCTGTAAAGGAAATTATAATTCACGAACGTTCTGGGCTCTGAGCCCACTTTTTACCAAGCAGCCTCCGTATATGTCCTCACATAATGCGCTCCTTGTGAGGCACTGTTATATATGCCAGAGATCCTACTAGAGACAACATCAAGTTAGAGAGCAGAGACGAGGCCTGGAATCTGATGGGAATGTGACAGGGCGAGGAGAATGTTCAGGAACATGCCATGACCACCCCAGGGCCTTGGCGGGGTCTCTCTGTTGGGGAGAGGGCTGACCTCGTCCCCAGCCTGGCTCCGTGCAACCCACCCGGGCTCTGGCTCTCCCGTCAGTTGCACCGCGCGAGGGCCACGGTGAGCCGGCCGCGGGACGGGCGCCAGGTCGAAGGCGGGAGAAAACCCTAACCTCTGCTCCTGTGCTGTGTCCTCAGATGAAGGCCTGTGGGACATGTTTGCGAAGGACATCCCCCGGAGTGCCACCTCCTACACCGTCAGCCTGGACAAGCTCAGGCAGGGAGTGACGTACGAGTTCCGAGTGGTGGCCGTGAACCAGGCGGGCTACGGGGAGCCCAGCAGCCCCTCTACAGCCGTGTCAGGTAGGGAGCCCTGCCCAAGCAGGGGAATCTCAGGACAAAGCCCTGTCCCCTGAGGGAGGAGAGGGAGACATGGGGCCGTCACAAAAAGACAGAGGACAACACTGTGCTTCATGTAGGCGGCCCCGCCGAGGGCCCAGGGAACTCGGTGCTGGGGAAGCGGTGCATGGGAGCCCGTGGCACCACCACCAGGCCCCCCGACTGCCCTTACGATGTTCCGCTTGAGCAATCCTCAGTTTTTGTCTCACTTTTCCCTAATCGGAGGCCTGTGCAGGAGTCAGAGCAGTCCACTTGGGCTGAGCAGTGCCCTCGGGGGTGAAGGCCGCCCTGAGCCCTCCCATGAGCTGCAGGCTCCTTATGGTGCAGACTTGTGTGATGCCTAAAATGCAAAAATCGCCCCAGCAGACGCCCCTGGGGAGTGTCTTAGCGCCGGACATAGGTTATGACTGATGGGGGGGCCTCGGGGACGTGAGCCCGTGCTGGTCGCCACCCTGTAGGGTGAGGCCCCGGCTCCACTCTGGGTGGGAGAGGTGAGGTTTCTTTCCCAGAGCTGGACAGACTAGCCGCCGTCACCAGCCATGTGGCCGGGGGTGTAACACATGGGGAGAAAGTGACCGCCAGGGGTCAGGAAGGGCTTCTCAGAAGAGGGCGTCTGGGTGGTGAAGGGTGCACAGTGGGGAGGGCACAGGAGAAGGAGGCAGCACAAAGTCTCAGACGGCGGGGGGGCGGGGAGCTGCCTTCAGTCCCAGGGTTACTGGGGGTTGCTTGGAGAACGCCCCCCCGGGGGCTCCACAGCGGATCCCCCCCCCTCCCCTGTCCCGGGCAGCCCAAGTTGGGAGCCCGCTCTGGAGGGATAGTAGGGAGCCAGGTGAGGGCGATTCAGAAAAGAAGTTGGCCGTCCCCTGCAGGCAGGGTCACCGGCAAGGCCAGAGACCCAGACGGGCGTCCCTACGGTAGGAGAAACGTGTTTCACGTCCCCTGCACGTAGGTCTGTCTAAGCTACTGACTGCTCTTGTGTCGCTGAAAACACCTCTCATGTTTTGCCTTTGGACTTGCCGTTGGACAAGGATAGTGTCCGTGGGCGCACTCGGGCCCCCCAAGTCCCGGTGGCCCGTGAGGGAGTCTGCCTGGAGGAGACATGGCACCCCGCCGGCTTGTTTAACAAATCAGACTTTAACACATCAAATTTTTCTCATTTCCTTCATTTTCCTCGTGAAAAATTTACTACACCCCCAAAAAGAGAGACTAGAATAAGGAATCCCTGGACACTGTCACCCCAGTTCCCCAATTCAAGCCTCTCTTGGTTCACCTGTGGAAAGTCAACATGAAGCGGTTCCAAACGCACAGAGACTCTGGTTACACACACACACACACACATACACACACACACACACACACACACACACACACACACACACACGGCCGATGGCAAAAGCTGGTTCCTACAGGAGAACACAGCGCTCCTACCCTGCTGTTCATGGGGTCTGTGACCGTGCTGTTTCTCCGAAACCCCCCGCACCCCCTCGCCCACCGTGGCCACCGGCAGGACTGTGCTCGGCTCCCTTCACCCTTCAGACCAGCCAGCAGGCGGGGCCGACCGCAGATCTGCCCCGGGTGAGAATCTTGCGGGCACCGAGGCCTTTCCTTTCCAGGCCCACCTGGGCCTCTTCCGCTGGGCGGTCGGCTGGGGTTTGTTGGCGCATTACGTGGGGGCCCTAACGTGCAGCCTGAAAACCACTTACCGTGTCTGGACTCCAAATGCTCGCCAGCTCCCCGGAACCCCTGTGCTGTTACATTATCCAAAGTCAGTCCCCCTTTCTCAACCCCAGCGCACACCCATTTTTCACCTGCCCAGTGAGAGATTTAACACAAGGTAGATGTGTTTGTTGTGGATTTCGGTGGCTGGAAGGTGGACCTTGGCCTCACCCGTAATAGGCTTCCTGTTCCCTCCGAACCCGCTCTCCGGGGAGGACCCCGAGGCCATCCGGCACCTACAAGAAACAGTGCCCATTGTTCTGTTCTTAGTAAACAGAATAAAACATGATCAAGAAGGGTATCCTTCTGGGGCGCCTGGGTGG